TTCCACAACCATCATAACAAGTATTTTAAATCAATTAAAAATATTATTAACACTCTAAACAGATTCCTTCTTCACAATTTAAACAATATTTAGGACAAGAATATTCACAATTAAAACATCCATCAAATTATATATTATTTCCATCATCACATTATTCTTTTTATTATTTTATTCCATCACCACAAATTGAATAGCAAATACCATCAATATTAATTTCTCCATTTATACAATTATCATGACATATTCCATTAATACATTTCTAACACTCTGTTAAACATGCTAATTAACATTCATTATTAATTTCAACATAAGGTTACTCACAAATAAGACATTCTTTTGAATTTATACAAATTTAACAATTTTCTGGACAAACAAATTTACAATTTATACAATCATTTAAATTTGAATCACATTCTTCTTTAGATAAAATAGCTACTTAATTATCTCCGCAAATTTATTGACATATTCCATTAATAAGTTACCATCCTTAAATACAAGAAAAGCAATATGAATTCTAACATTAAAGACATTAAATTTGACAACTATCATTACATTTATAGCATCCAATTTCAATTAGACTCAATTGTAGTTCATCTTTAAATAAAAGTGCTCCTTTTGTAATTTAAGTAATACATAAATTATTTAATAGAAAATAATCAACCAAACATTTTTTACATTTTCCGTATTCACAAATTTCACAATATTAGGGACATTAAAATACTATATTTTACTATTTAATTCCAGATATTTCAAGATTATATGTAATGTCATAATCATCACAATAAGTAACATCAGAAATCTGATTTTCATTTATATCTGATCTAATACAACTTATAAATCTAAATTATGTTTGAAATTCCAAACATTTACCATTTATTAATTCATATGTTGGACTACAATATTAACAAACTTCAAAATTACATTCTTAACAGTTTAATATACATTAGAAATTACAATTATAACATCCATTATTAGGAATATTATTTCCATCATCACATTATTCATCCTATTGAACTTTACCATGCCCACAAATGACAACTTCAGTTTCCTCTATAAAAAATGAAAATTAATTATAATCAACTTAAATTTAATCTTATGGTAATTTATCATAATTTCGATTACATATTCCATTAGAGTAATGTAATCCTAAGTCGCATGTCTAAAATTAACCAAATTTACAAATTTTAGCAATTCTTAGGACACGAAAACTGACACTCATGACAGCCATCATAAGGGATGTCATTGCCATCATCACATGGCTCATTTCCTGTTATTATCTTATCTCCGCAAGAAAGATGGCTCAAAATTTTTATTCAAACCATTCTCCTTTTACACAAAATGTACACCCTTCCAAACATGATTCTTACTTAACAAAACAACCATCAAATGGTACTAAATTATCATCAATACATTAAATTAAGTTTATTGGCCCTCGAAGAATGACTGACAATTCACGAATGCCCACTGTACCATCTACACTATTTATTTTTAATTTAATTTGATTTTTAGGATCATCAATTACCCATGCTCTATAATCAAGCTACTTTTTCTCACTTAGTAAACTCTAACTGTTATGGGCATAGTTGAAAGATATTCAATTCTAAATTGTATTATTAAGGAAAGATGATCTAGTAGTGTAAGATAAGTTATTACAGAATCAAATTGAGTTAAGACAAGCATTTTAAGTTAAACTCTAATTACTTTACATACTTACAATCATTGGTCTATAATGTAAAAGTGGGAAACTTATTCTTAATCCAACCTTCAAGACCATCAAAAAGGTTCTGTAGTTGAAAAAATGATTGCCACAATATCCACATGATACAATCAGTTGTAGAATCTAAAAAAAACTGGTATCCTAAGTAACATTTATTTAACGTTATAGAGAAATTAGTAAGTCCCCAAAATTTCTTAAGATTTTAAAATAACAAATACTGTGGTTGAACAATCTGAGTATAATTCTACAATTATTGAATTTAATGTATGAAGAGGGAAATCATTATATTATGAAGAACTATAGTCTGAACCAATATCAGCACTTATATTTGATCCTGTATTATCTGTAAAATACCAAGATTAAGTCCATTAATCTACAATTATATAAAAAAGCTATGCACTTGGCCAATCATCAATTCTTAAGATATATTAATATAAGTAAAAGATTATTCTAACTTTATTAAAATTTTCAAAAGTTGATATCTATACGCACTTTATAATGAGGTGGCAGCATGAAATATTTCATTATTTAAGTTTTAGTTGACAAATAACATCCAAATTTCTGATATCCCCCAAAAATTATGTTTCCTACACTATATTATGTATGAACAGAGGCTACAATGTAAAGGATTTAATTAACCACCCTAAATGAATATGATAGTCTTTACCTTCGTCACCAGAAATTGATGAAGTCATAAAATGTTAAAGATAATAAGCTTCAACAATTATTCCAAAAAAATGAAAATGGAAGAACAAAATAAACATCATAGGAATTTAAGTTAATAATAGAATTTTTTAATATTGTTAGAAATATTGCTGTAAATAATTATTAATGTAGGAAAAACAAAAAATTAGTCTAATAATATAATCAATTGTTTATGACAAAACAAACTGAAATACTTGTAATTCTTAATGATAATAATTAACCAAAAGTATTGTCATTTATTATACATATTTTATCCTAAAGGTTTGATTTCAATTATTGTAACAGAATTCTTAGATTAAAAATTTTTCATAGTCTTTTTCAAATAACCAAGTTTTTATATTATATTTTATATTACATATACTTGCATTTTAGTGTAGTATTATAAAAATATCAATTTTCAAATGAAGCATTTTCTGAAAACGTGTAAAATTGTGATAAAATTCATATACATAATCAAAAATAAGGAGAATTTATATAAATTAATTGATGTTAAATATATATGAAATTCTTAAGCTATGAGAATGTTTACATATTTATCATTAATACACTTTAGAAGTATGAATTTTCATTTAATATATTTTAGGAATGATTACAATAAAAACAAATATCTCATTTACAGCATGTGATTATTAATTTTATATCAAGAAGTAAAGCTGATAGGATAAATTCATATTGATTAATTAAGGAATATTCCTTGTAGTTTATTGATATCAGAAATAGAATCACTTCAAATTTAATTGTTTGATACGTTTCTTATTCTTTTTCAAATAAACATATAAAAATATTGATAATTATTAATCAATACATTTCTATTAAATGAAGAATGAAAATATAGATTTAAAGTATAATATGTGGGAAATTATATATCAATCTGTTTTAATTAAGATTTTAAAGCGTGAATCATTTGTAATTATTCATTAATTACATCCCTTTTTTGACAAAAATTAATTCTACATTAATTCAATTTTAGCTTAGCCTGATTTTTCTTCACTATGAAATAATTATGTTATTATTCTGCCAATGATTTTCAGATTATTTAATTTAAAAGAAAAATTAATTCATTTCTTTTGTAACTATAATATTAATCTTGCTTAATTTAAATTATTGAATTAAGAACTTGTTAGACCAATATTTATCTGCTAATAATCAATTACACAAATATAAATGTAACTTAAAAATTTCAATTGAGATTTAGGTTTTATCTGATAAATTGTATATTAAATAATTACATAATTTAACTAATGATCATATAATATTATTTCCAAACTGATTAATTGAATCGATTAATCTCAAAAATAAAATTTAAGGTTGATATTTTTCTTCTGAAAATTTTAATGAATAACCAAAATTTTACTAAAACAATAGAATGTAAAAAGTATTTAACATAATTCTCTTTAATTTTTTTATTTGATTTAATTTAATTCAATAATATTTTTAAATCAGCGTCAAATGTAAGGAAATAATAATTATTCTATTTTCTAAATCTTTCCTCTAAAATTCACATGAACGTAATGATAATTAATGTTGCCCATTAATAAGACTCATTGTGAATTCACTTGTTTTTATCATTAATCAGATATTCTTATTGTTCCAATAATTAAAATTTGATTCTAAAATTAGTTGTGTAGTTATTCATATATTTTTTACAAAAATCATTTTCTCATGAGCTTATTATAAAGAGTCTATTTGATTTCAAACTGAAAGAAATTTCTGACATTTTCTATACTGCTGCTGTTCCATTCAATGAATTAAGAAAGTAGAATTAAACAATTAATTCGTACTAAAGAATAAAGTCTTTTAATTTATTTTTTACATAGACAATCTGTTCTGAATGGNTAAATGAGCTTCAAATTTTAGTAAATTAAAATCTAAATTAATAAAATACGAATAAATTAAATAGAGAGTTTATGAAATCCAAAAAAACCTAAATTATTTATAATACTAACTGGGTTTACCTATCTTCTCTCTTTGATTTCTAGTTGATTATATTAAATATTCCTACCATTAAAAAATCTCACAAGCAAAAAAATTTATACTTAAATTATCTATTTACTCATATGTATTTTATCGAATGTTCATAATTATTTCCCTTAAGAAAAAAACTCTAATAATTAAAGCTATAAGGTTCTCTATTATTTAAGGTATCGATTATTAAATTATTTAATAGTATTGATGATAAATAATCAAATGATAAATAATATATTTGTTTATCTAATATGATTAATGAGTCATAATCTAATAAAAAATATTAAACTTACTTAAGAATCATCTCTTTTAATCAAAACCTTTTACTGCAAAAAATATCTTTGTATATTTCTCAACCTGGTATTGTGTTTATTTTATGAATACAGATGAAAAAATTCATTTTTTGTTAAAATCTACCTTCCATACAATAATTAACTTATCACTACTTCCAGAAAAAGCAAATCCTCATTTGAACTTATGATTAAACACATCACCCAATGTGTATAGTGTTAATGACGTTTTGAACTAATCGAATCATTTAAATTTATTTATTTCCATCACTTAATAGTATTATCACCTGAACTTGAAATAAAAGAATTAAGCTTGTTACTATAAATTAAATTATAAATCCAATCACTATGTTCTATTAAAGTTGTTATTAGGTTTATTATTCCATCATTGAATATCTGAACTTCAATATTTTCTCTTCATTTTATATCATGATTGACCCAGAGGATTAAAGCAATTGTATTACATTCAGTATTTGACTTTACAGATTAATCAACTACCTTAAGGTTTATTTTTTCTTTTTATAAGAGATTTGAGATTAATTTGTTATTCTAAATTTTCTATTTCTTAATTATATTCCACATAATCTAATTCTAAACTTTTTAATTATCAATAATAAGTCTCATAATTTTATAATTGAATTTATTTTTTTATATTCAATTTCTCTCTTTATAAG